TAATTCTGTGTAAAGAATTAATTCTCTTGATCTTGAGGTTTTTTAGGTAAGACATGGAAGATGAGAGCAAGCTAAGTATACATTGGAGTCTAAAACTTCTGAATAGAAATGAGTTTATTTGGGAGGAGGAAGCAAAGAGCATGGGGAAATAGGGATATGCAAGTAGTTTAGGGCAGGTAGGGAGAGATGAAAAATGTTAAGTAAGGTGGTGGAAATGACCTTTTGTAGTTGACTGAAACATACATCTACAGAATCTGGAGCAGAACAACTGAATGCAATATGTAGCCTCTAAACTGCCTGTGGCTGTGATAGTGAAAACACAGTGAAATAGAAATCCAAGCTGGAAGATGAGTGTTGAAGAATGTATGTTGTTTCTAGAAAATAAAAATTAAAGTGAGCTTGGTGGGGAAGCATTGTTACTATTATGATCAGCTAAAGAAATTGGTGGGGTATGGATAAAATATATTCTTTTTGAATTAAAATCTCTGACATAAGAGGTATTATTAAAGCAGTGCAGCAGAGTAAGATTTGGAGCTGCCAAGTCCTTTGCCTGCAACTTTTTAAGTCAAAGAATGATGTTTATTTTGATAGTGAGATAATTACTGTAAGAATTGTAATATGAAGTTACCCTGAATTGAATGTTCACAAACTGGATTTAAGTAAATGTTGGTCTAGAACTCATTTGCTTTTGAAACTGAATCTTTTATAAACTAAGGAAAAAAGTTTTGACAGTGAGAGTGCTCAGACATTGGAACAGGTTGTCTAGAGTAGTCTTGGATTTTCCTTTCTTGCAGATGATTGGAACCTGACTGGACACAAAGCCCTGGGAAACTTAATGCAACTTTCAAATTAGCTGTGCTTTGAGCACAGGGTTAGAACAGATGACCTCATAATCTTTGTTTCAGCCTAAATTATTCTGTCACTTTTAAGCTCAGTCTAGTTAGTAAAGCCAGTTGGACTGCATATCTTTTCACATGAAGAGCGCTAGAATTCATTGAACTCAAAGATGCTAATAGGGATATTAGAATTTATTTTTGGGAAGAGAAGAATTGATCTACAAAGAAAACCCGCTAAGGTTCCAGGTCAATCAGTTAGCTTCTCTGTCTGCTTGTACTGTGGTTCAACTTTTTCACACTGTGTTGGGGAATTAAGCTAAACTGAATTACTTTCTTTGTGGTAAAAAACACACATGTGGTTTGTTACCATAGCTCAGCTGACATACTGGATTTCATTGTTGCTCTAATAACTTGATCAAGTGCCTAAGTTTTTTGAGTCTTATTTATTAGGACTAAGTTGAAATACGTGATGTGGTGCAATATGTAACATTTTTACTTAAGGTAGAGATTAGTAAAAAAATTGTAGAGATGGAGCTGGTAGAGGTGGTTAGTAGAATTAGAGGAGTGATTAGCAAATAGGAATAATTTCAGTGGAGTACCCTAGGGATTGGTCTTGAGTCTTACTTATTATTTATATTAGTGTGGTGTGTTGTGATATTTGATACAAGGAAAATATCATCAATACTCAGATAACTGCTCTGAGGAAGCTAGACTGTTTGGAAAGAAAGTAGTCTGGAGCAGAGCGAGTGGCACAGCTGAAACTTCATCTGAAATGATGCATACAGTTCTTGCCATCTGTAGTAAAGAAAAAATAGATAATACTAGGATAGGTGCAAAGAACAATTTCAGGAAAGATCAGTGGAAGAGGGAGTCTGGCAAAATAGTCTGGGAGGAGATAAGTTCATCTTGGCTAATATGATGTGGCACTAATCACCAAAGAAAGATTAAAAACCTCTTGTAAGTTAAATGAAGCTGACATAAAAAATATTTTGATTATAAATTAATTACCTGAAAGTATCTGGTCATCTTAATGTTAAAAGGTTCTCAATAAGACCATGGGGAGAAAAAGAAACATCATAAATTTAGAAAAGATGTTGACATGAATTTCTGTAACATAGAATAATGTAACTTTAAAAAATGAAGTAGCAGTCAATTCTAGAATATTTTTCTTGTAGTCTTGCAAACTTGGTTGCTAGTTCTGCATGGTGTTGCAGAAGCAAGGGGAACAGATTTGCTAAAATAGACATGGTCATAGAACTATATTAGCCTTAGAAATCAAATTATTTGGGCTGTTAATTCTATACCATGATAAGGAAGTTTGATACAAAAATAGCACAAAAGAAATGAAACTGTCTGTTAGCAGAATCTTGCTAATAGTCCTGATCATAATGATCACAATCTCTTCACAATATTAAACACTGAAAACTGTCAGGCAGTTTAAATCATATATATATATATTCTGAGAACAAAAGTACTTTGATAAACTGACTGATACTGTTATAGTGTGTTGTGAACACTGTATTGTATTTTGTAGTAGTAATTTAAGCATGGTTTCATGAAATTTGAGCCAAATTAATGCTTCTTTGGCAGGTCCCTGTTCTCTTTCTTTCTCCCATTGTTTTCCTCTCCTTCCACATGTATAACTTATGTGGGTTCTAGCACTCAGCAGACTGTTTTGTGAGCTACTATGTTTCTAACATTTCTACCGCATTAGAAAATGAGCTCAGCAAAAAAAATAATCTCATAATTTTCTGCTAGATTGAGGTAAATCAGTGCACTGAATAGCTTGACAAGTAGCAGAATTAGCACTAGGGATGGAATAAGATGGCATAGCCAGGTTTGGTATATTGGGAGGAAGGAAGAATAAGAGAGTGGGGAGCAAGACTTTTCCTTGTTGGCAGTATTAGACTGTTGATGTGTTCAAGTGCAGTCTGAGATAAAGTCTGCTGCCTGTTTTCCCAATGTAATGTATTTTTAGTAGATACATATGATTATGTGAATTACCTCAGAACATTTTAATATTTTACACTTCTCTGCTGTTAGTTATGTAGATAATACAACCTAATTTTATAGATTGTCATTCACTTTTACCATCATAAAATAGTCTTCCTGAATTTTCTGATGGAGTCTGATTTCTCACTTTAAGCTGACAAAACAGAGAAACTGTCTATATACATCAAGTAGGAGGAATTGTTTCAAGCAGTGGTGGGAGCTATACCAAAGCAGTTCAGATCTTTTCCTTCCACTGTAAAGAAGTTGAAAATAAAATGAACAATTCCCAACTGAATTAAATTTAGATGAAATGCAAGTGACTTTTTAAGCAAACAGGGGCCTAAGATGGGAAGAAGGTGGAATCCAGGTGTGTAAGTCCCATAATAACATTTTCTCTGAGTTTCTGCTGTAAGAATTTTTAAAAAATATATTGAAGTTAATGGGTTCTGCTGTAATTAAAATTACAAAATCAGTTTTTCTTAAAAAAATAAGTTATTAAACAAAAGTTATGGAAATGTCTTTTGCAAAAATAATAGCAACTATAGTTAAAAGGTGCTTTGCTTCTGATAGTTATGTCAGAGAGAATATTGGAGTCTTTAGGAAAAAAACACTGTAACTTGTTCCTTTTGGTTTTGAGCATAACCATGTTGAAATTCCAATTTGCCACTATGTTTGCTTCCAGTGAGATTTCATTTTTCTGTTTTCTTTTAAAAATTACGGGATAGTCTTTTAATAGTGCTATGGAGATGTGAAACCCTATTGAGATTCTTAAATCTTGAAAAGCAGTACAGTGTACTAAAAATTTCATAATAATCACTCAGTTCCCTATTTCATATCATAGTGATATTTTGTCTAGTTCACTTTGTTTAAAAATAAAAATAACTACTGTAGGCTTATAATAATAATGCACAGTTATAGATCAGTATAGGACAACAATATTAGTTTTAGTTAAAATAATTAAGCCTTTGAAGCCATCATTTTTTATTTCCACTGTTAATATTTACTCATTCTTATTAAATAACCACATATTAATGTCCTACCTGCACTTTTAAGAGAAGCAAATTAGTCTCAGCATGTGCCTGGAAGATTGCTAGAACTCTGCTAGCAGTCGTCTTGCTCGACTTGACTGTTCATTTGATGCTTCGTGTTGTGAGGCAGTGGACTTCTGTATGAGCGAGTGGTGCCAGCTTTTATAACTTTCAATTTTTGTGGGAAAAATCTTGTATCAGAAATATTTAAAGTGTCTCTGCCTTAAATTTAAGAGTTCTGAGCTATTTTTCATGGAAATTCTCATTACTTTAATATGATTAACTGAAAAACATCATGCAAGTGCATATCAGTAATGAGCTCTCACAAAAAAGTAGTATTTTTCTTAATTTGACAGGAATATCAGTGTGAAGTAAGTTAACATACACATATTCCCAAAATGTCAAACAGTGGAAGGAGTTCCAAAAAATTTATTCCAAAATTTAGAACACTAGACTTACAAGGGAAAAAGTTCTAGCAGTGCTGGAAAAAACACTGCCTCAGAAAGACACGCCTCCTGTTCCCTTCAAGGTTTTTTATCTTTTCTGGCCTCCCCCCCCCAGGCCCTCTCTGACATGGAGGCCTGTAGCCTGTGTGAGTTTCTTTCTCCTCATACCATGTAAGTCTCCTCTGGAATGGAAGAGGAGAAAACAGCCAAATTTTCTTTGAACAAGGTGCTGCTTCTTAAGCAGGAAAGCATTCCTAAGTGAAATAAGCTCTAATCTCCTTGCCGTAAATCTTCCAGAAAGGATATCTACCCTTACAATCAGTTTTATTGAAGAACCATTAAAACACTTAAAAACTTATCAGTCGTTAAAAGATAACTGTGTAAGACTTCTGTATTATTTTGAATGAAAGACTTGGGTTCTTTTCAAGCAGTGGAACATCACCACCACCACTCCTTGCTAAGAAGAAAGTCATTGCCTGCATGACATATCTGCATTCAGAGAAACTTCAAAATGATACAGCCTTTTTAATGGGGGTGAATGAGAGGTAATAAAAGCTGGTAAAGTGTATAATAGCTGTTTCAGGTCTGTTTGTAGAACAGACAAGTATTAATCAAATCTGGGAGTTTGAAATGTTTAGGCATTAGCTTAGTATGTTGACTTAATCTAATTATTTACTTACTATCTTTTTCCAATGTAGCCAGCAGCCAGCTTCGGGTGTAGCTTATTCCCATCCAACTACAGTTGCCAGCTACACTGTCCACCAGGCACCAGTTGCTGCGCACACCGTAACTGCAGCCTATGCTCCAGCAGCAGCTACAGTTGCAGTAGCCAGGCCTGCTCCAGTAGCTGTTGCAGCTGCTGCAACAGCTGCTGCTTATGGAGGCTATCCTACAGCGCACACAGCTACAGATTATGGTTATACACAGAGGCAACAAGAAGCTCCACCACCACCACCTCCTGTCACTACGCAGAATTACCAGGTGTGTTTAAAAAAAAACAAAAAACCAACAATTACTTGTGTAATTTTTAAATGATATGTTAAAAGGAGGAGGCCTATTTGGATAAGAGAACATAATATTTATATTTTTCTTCCATAAATCGCATCTAAAACTGATAGAATATGAAGTAACTGCAGTTTTGTATCGTGCTTACAGAAGATTATCAGCAGTAATACTTCAGGAACTAAAATTTAGACATTCATGCAATAAGCAATGAATTGACATTTATCTCCAAATGATTTTGTGAACTGCTGCTGTAATACTTGTCTCAACTAGCCTAAATGCTCAAGTGGCATGCAGTAAAACGAGTCACGGAACTGATTTAGATGAAAAAAACTGTTCCAATAAATTTTCAGTGGGAGATAGTAGTTCCCTTGTCAGATTCCTCTTTGCTACAGGAGCTCTAGCACCAAATGTAAGAGGATAGATTACCCTAGAAGAGGGACTGTCTTTTGGGTAGATTTTGGGTACCCTTTTTGAGACCACTGCCTAACCTTTTGTTGCTACAGGCTTTTACAAAAGGAAATTGTCTGTTTTCATCTTGCTCTGACCTTTAGTGACACTTCCTCATGTTGAATCTAGCAGTTGTCAGCATTTGGGTGGGTCAGTTCAGGATAAGGATTCCATAGAAAGCTAACCAACTAAAAAAGGAATAGCAGCTTTCCACAGGATTGACAGGTTTCTGCAGAAATTCCTTGTTTCTGCACAGTTGTGGTGTCAATGCAAGAGATGGAGGTGGGATCATGTAGGGCATGTAGGATCATGGTACCTCAGACAACTTCTCATTCTTAAACTGGTTTAAATGCTGTATGAAACAACATCCTGTCAGTGACTTTTATTCCTCTTCAGGAATAAAGAAACTTAGCAGTACAAATCAGTGTGTTGCATCAGTTTTGCAGTTGGAAGACTTGTCTGTAGAGGTTATCTTGGGACTTATTTAACATAAGTGTTTACTCGATTGAGTGAGAAGTTGCATTCTTTTCTGTCTGCCTAGATTGACAAAATGCAAGGGTATATACATATCAGTAACCCCAGCCCATCAGTTTCAATCAGACAGCTTAGATGCAGAAAGATGAGGGGTTTTACATGGCCGGGTAGTTTCCCATTAGAAATGTGAGCTTTATTTGTATTTTTATCAGCTTTTTGGTACATTAACATTTGTTAGTCAATCTTCAGTGGATATTTCTAGGCTGGTGTTTTATGCGCAAGTTATCAAACTCTTATGGTGTGACTCATAGTTAAAATGTGTGTTTACTATGAGACAGAGGATATTGAAATAGTATGTCCTTTGTAAAAATTCTTTAACTTTTGGTCCTAACTTTATCAAAGCATTATCTAGATTCTAATCTGCATTTTTATTTGCTTAAAGCTACTATACTGTTGCTGTATAAATTCCTTTGTATGGCTTTGTAATTTGTTACATATGGTAATGAATAGAAATGGAGGAGTCTTTCCAGTAGCATGTTTACTCATAATTACAAGTTTGTTAAACTAGTCAGTTATTATATGCATTTAGATAGAAAAGAGTCCCCTAAATTAAAGAAAAATAATTCTACTTTACATAAGTTGGATGGCAAAGAGATTTTATTGTTATATTTCTTTGCAATAAAAAGAAATTGTATACATTAGCTAATGTAGTTCATGCCTTGCTACCCCCCAGTTGATCAACTCTGTGCTTTGCTATAAATATGGTGAGGATAGAAGAATAATATGTACATGTATATAGTGTCTTCCAAACCCTCCCTTTCTAAGCTTACTAACCATCTCCTAAGTTCTGGAGGTTTCAAATGGACTGCTTGCCTTGCTCTTATGAACTGGTTCCCCAGTGGAATAGTTGATAGGCCAAAAAGTAGAGAAGGCTAAAAAAGTATCCCTTTCATACTCCAAGAAATATAACCAAGAAAAGTATTGTCGGTGATGGGATTTTTAAAGCCAATAAAGACTCATAGAATCATAGAATAATTTGGGTTGGAAGGGACCTTTAAAAGTCATCCAGTCCAACCCCCCTGCAATGAGCAGGGGCATATTGAACTAGATCAGGTTGCTCAGAGCCCCATCTAATCTGATCTTGAATGTTTCCAGGGATGGGGCATGTACTGCCTCTTTGGGCGACCTCTTCCAGTGTTTTATCACCCTTGTAAAAAACTTCTTCCTTATATCTAATCTAAATCTACCCTCTTAGTTTAAAGCCATTACCCCTTGTCCTATCACAAGTGGCCCTACTAAAAAGTCTGTCCCCATCTTTCTAATAGGCTTCCCTTAAGAACTGAATGGCCACAATAAGGTCACCCTGGAGCCTTCTCCAGGCTGAACAACACCAACTCTCTCAGCCTTTCTTCATAGGAAAGGTGTTCCATTCCTCTAATCATCTTTGTGGCCCTCCTTTGGACCTGCTCCAACAGGTCCATGTCTTTCCTGTGCTGAGGAACACACAGGTGTAGATGGACCTTCATCCTCATCATCCTTTGACTGGCCTTCTACATCCTCATACCTTTTGTACAGAGGCACCTGGGAGGGTGAGTTGGGCAAGGTGGGGATTCATCTGCTGCCCTGAGCAAGGACTTGTCTCCATTCACCCCTTTTTTTTGAGCTACTGCCTTCTACCTGCCCCAAGGGAAAGACACAGGACCCCCTTGATATTGATTTTTTTTTTTTCTGGTGGCTCTTCTTGTCTCAGGGAGGGCAGAGCATGGTTCCATGTTTGTAAACTTGTGAACATATTGTGGTTTGTGGAGATCTTTGGTGGTTTTTTCACCTTTTTTTAGAGGAATGTAATCTGATGCAGTCATTATGAAAAACTAGTGTGCAATGAGTTGCTTTTTGGTAACAAAAATAATTTGGAAGGGAAAAAGTGATTTAATAGCATGAGATTAATTCCTATATTATGTCTGGAAAAGACCATCAGGATTGTCTTCAGGCCTGATGTATCTGTAAACATACATTTAATTTTTTTAATGCATATATTAGTATATACCATATCTGTAAATATTTTTTTTAATCTACTTAAGTAGAATAGAAGAAAATTCTTTGACTCTTGTAGTGATTTTTATTACTCCAGATATATACTTAAGGAGAAATTTGATGGGTTTTCTTTTTTGAATTTTTAGGATTCCTATTCTTATGTTCGATCTACTGCCCCAGCTGTAGCTTATGACAGCAAACAATACTATCAACAACCAACAGCGACTGTGGCAGCTGTGGCTGCTGCTGCCCAACCTCAACCTTCAGTAGCTGAATCATATTACCAGACAGGTGGGTAGCATAATTCAAACTCCTGTCATTATGCACAGTCTGTGTACTATTTTAATAGCTTTAAAATATGTCTTTGAATATTTCATGTTATCAGATTTATTTATTGTTTTGGCATGTAATCCCTGTCAATGTGTAGAAAAACTTGATGCACCTAGAACTTGAACATTATTGTGACATTGCTATAAGTAACTGTCTTTGAGGTTTGGATTTTTATTAATACACTCAAAATGTACTTCTAGGCAAACACTTTTGCTGAAGTAGGTTGAAAAAGTCAGTGGTGGATTCAGATGATAACCTGGTTAGAAAGACTTTTTTTAAGATTCTTTAGTTAATGTATATAGTTCTTTGATTATTGGTATCATAAATACTACAAAGCATAAATCCTATTTGCTTTTTTTATTGTAATTAGAAATAATAGGAAAGTTTAGATGTACTTTGGTTTAGCGTGTACTCTAGTAAAACCACTGAACAAGAAGGTTGTTTAAAAATATGGCAGCACAGTTAAAAATACATAAATAAATCTGAGGTTTACAAGGTTGAGCTGTGACGTGAATAAACAGTTGTGTGATATATGGTAGATCATGCATAACCATTACTGTAAAAAAAAAAAAAAAACAAACCAACCCAGAAAAACCCCAAAAGCCAACCGAAAACTCAATGAAAAAAAAGGCAAAACCCAACCAAACTAAACCAAAACCCAATAATGTGTTTATTCCCTAGCATATCCTAAAATATCACTTAATATGGTTTGCATTTCATTCAACTAAAGCACATCAATGTTTATACACTTCTATTTTCTATCCTAATTAGCTCCAAAAGCAGGATATAGCCAAGGGGCAACTCAGTATACCCAAACCCAGCAAACACGACAAGTGACAGCTATAAAACCTGCAACCCCAAGTCCAGCAACAACTACGTTTTCTATATATCCAGTATCCTCTACTGTGCAACCAGTAGCACCTGCAGCTACTGTTGTTCCATCCTATACTCAAAGTGCAACATACAGTACAACAGCAGTTACTTACTCTGGTAAGAATTTTGCATATTATGTTGCTGGGATCTTTGCAGTTGTTATAGGAGAGGATTTAAATACTCAGCATTTTAGCAGTTTGTGTTCAATTACATCATAGTCTACTGAGAACTATCAACCAGTTAAATCATAATAATGGCAAGATGTTTTTATGTATCTTTAAAAGAGGTTTGATGATTGTATATGCCTATTTTGTTACATATGAGAATATACAAAGTGTTAGCATTGCTATGTGCACAAGTGTTTTGTGACTTACTGTAAAATTTGGAGACAAAAGATGGGAGATAGAAAAAATAAGGAAACACATCCACACAGATATAACCCAGGAAAATTTGGAGCGTGCTGCCATCAAACAGAAATTACAGAGACAAGGAGGAGCAGTCCACTATAAATCTTGTAAGTTTAGGTTGTCTTGACCCAAGATGGGAGGAGAATAGGTGCTTGTCTTAGTTAAATGACAATATGTCCCAAAAGGCGGGACCTCCGATGAAGTAAAAACTGCCCCCAAATTACGAAATATTTTGAAATTATGAGATGTTTGAGTAAAGTAGGAAAATAATTAACAGTTTTACTAAAAGCAGAGAACAGAACAAAACCAAACAATAACAAAGAAAATGTCACCTAAAACCACACTCTCAGTTCTGTGCTGTCAAGATGGCAGCGCAGTCCTAAGGGGATCATGTGATCGCAATGTAACCAGAGCAGAGTTGTGGCAACGCGAGTGGGCGACGTGTGAAAGTTCACAAAAGGGAACTCTCAAGTCCTTTCAGCACCACTGCAGCCACAGCCGTTAGAGGTGCCGGCAGCCCTCAGAATACAGCGGTCACTGTGGCAATGGGAGAGCCCTGCTTGGCATGGGAACCGCAAAGCTGGAGTGCAGGTTGGTGGTGGCTGCTGCTACCGGCAGCGAGAATCATAGAATAGAATTAACTGGGCTGGAAGAGACCTCCGAGATCATCAAGTCCAACCCTTGATCCAACTCCACTGTGATTACTAGATCATGGCACTCAGTGCCACATCCAACCTCATCTTAAAAACCTCCAGGGACGGTGAGTCCACCACCTCTCTGGGCAGGCCATTCCAATGCCTGATCACTCTCTCTGGAAAGAACTTCTTTCAAATATCTAACCTAAACCTCCCCTGGCAGAGCTGAAGCCTGTGCCCTCTTGTCCTACTGCTGATTGCCTGGGAGAAGAGACCAACCCCCACCTGGCTACAACCTCCTTTCAGGGAGTTGTAGAGAGTGATGAGGTCACCCCTGAGCTTCCTTTTCTCCAGGCTAAACAACCCCAGCTCCCTCAGCCTCTCCTCATAGGACTTATGCTCAAGTCCCTTCACCAACCTCTTTGCTCTTCTCTTGACCCGCTCCAGCACCTCAGTGTCTTTCCTGAAATGAGGGGACCAGAACTGGACACAATATTCCAGGTGTGTCCTCACCAGCGCTGAGTACAGGGGAAGGATCACTTCCCTACTGCTGGCCACACTGTTCTTGATGCAGACCAGGATGCCATTGGCCTTCTTGGCCACCTGGGCACACTGCTGGCTCATGTTCAGCTTCCTGTCGATCTAAACTCCCAGGTCCCTTTCTGCCTGGCTGCTCTCCAACCACTCTGTCCCCAGTCTGTAGCGCTGCAGGGGGTTGTGGCCAAAGTGCAGGATGCAGCACTTGGCCTTGTTGAACTTCATCCCGTTGGAATCAGCCCAACTCTTCAGCCTAACAAGGTCCCTCTGCAGAGCCCTCCTGCCTTCCAACAGATTGACACTCCCTCCCAACTTGGTGTCATCTGCAAATTTGCTAATGATGGACTCGATCTCCTCATCTAAATGGGGAGGAGGTGAGGCGACCAAAAACGGCAAGAGCCAAAAAAAAACACAGTGAGAGAGCAACCCGACTGCGCTTCTGCCTTCATACTCCCTACTGGAACCAGAGAGAGCAAGTTCCTGTAGCTCTAGCAAATTTTATCCCACTCAGTTCTCATGGCACTTCCCGATGGGACCCCCTTATCCCTCTCTGCCCCCACCCTGTGCGGAGAGAGGGGGGAGGTGTCCCTCATGCCCTCCAAAACTATATGATGATATGAAAGAGTTCAACCAAAAAATCTCCATTTAGCTAAACTATAACAGTGCTACAAAAAAAAACTTTCCTCCAAACATTAGAAATCCAAAAAGTAGTTAAAGGTGAAAAGATGTTAATTTTATGGCCAGATGGTAATCAACTGGCATATTATAGCTACCTTGAACTATTTGTTTTGATTTGTTTCCTGTTTAAAAAGGGATTTTAAGACTTCGTTAAACAGAGCTTGATCAGAGGATTAAAATAGTTGAACCAGTAGATATATAAAGTTTATGGGAAAACTGACTCAAAAGATATGAAAGCCCAGTTTCCTTGATTTATTAAACTTTGATACTAGAAATCAAGGAGTTTCTAGACAGGGTGTGCTGCAGAGGTTTTAGCAGGCAAGGAACCCACTTGAAATAGAATGTAATAGCACTAACCCTTCTATCTTCTATCTTCTTTTATTTTTTTCCCTTCCTCTACATAATATCTGTCCTTTTCAGTTTGGAACTTGAACAGTAAATCTGTCTCTGGAAGACTGCTTACTTAAGCGGCCTTTGATAAATCTTTTATTAAAATTTTTGTTATATCATACTTGGTCTTACCAGATGTACCAGGAAATTTCACATATTCTTTAGGGATGCTTTGATATATCTTAACAGAACAACATGTCTGCAAAGTTTTGTCTAAAATCAAATATATTCCTGATACAAGTGGTATGCTATGTATTTCTGTATTGTGAAACATCAAGAAAAATTCAGACTACCTGACAACATCTCAGTAAATCATTTATAACTTGCCCTCCTCTCAACTCTATTATGCAATATGCTTGGAATTAGTGTATTATGTAATTGATATATGATGTACAGTGATGTAACATTAATTTTATTTTGATCTTTGAGGTACCTCTTATTCTGGCTATGAAGCTGCAGTGTATTCAGCTGCATCATCCTATTACCAGCAGCAGCAGCAGCAGAAACAGGCAGTGGCAGCAGCTGCTGCTGCTGCAACAGCTGCTTGGACAGGGACCACCTTTACTAAAAAGGCACCATTCCAAAATAAGCAACTGAAACCAAAGCAACCTCCCAAACCGCCCCAGATCCACTACTGTGATGTTTGTAAGATCAGCTGTGCTGGACCACAGGTACCTGTATTATGTAATATTCTGCTATACAATTAAGTCATTTTTTCAACTAAAAAAAAAAAATGACCCCTTCAGGAATATTTGTTAATTTTTAAAGACCTGATTCTATACTTATACTAAAGGAATAATGAAATGAAAATGTGTGCTATTACAGAAAGAGGTCATATGAGAAGACAAAAAGATGTATCTCTTTAGCTTGTACAGAGAAGGTTCAGCTGTGCTTTGGACTCCAGAAATATTCTAAACTTTGAATTTTGCTTTTTAGCATAGCAAATTTCTAAGAAAATACTTTTTTCAAAACTTTGTGAATGGTGAGCTTGAAAATGTATTCATTGTATTCCAGCATCCAAGTTTAGTTTCACAGTGGGTACAAGTGCATAAAAAGTAGATATCAATTCATGCAGTATTTGTGTGTGTGTGTGTTTGGCTAAACAGTTCTTACTCTTTAGGTAAATTTGTCATTATTTCCCACCGTGTCTGCTTTATAGATTGCCAGTGTTAGTATAGGAACAAATAGCAACTTCTGTATTTTATTTTCAGCACAACTTTATTTATGTGCTACCTTCTTTTGAACTTATTTTTTTAATTGTCTGGATACATTTAATAACTGTGGTCTTGCCGTTTGAGGAAAATTCAAAATCAAGAATAATTCAGTGCAATGTAGGAAACTGCAACTGCGGCAGTGTTCTGATCTTATCAAGCTTTCAATGGTAATATATGTTGACCAGTACTTGATTGAGGAAGTGAGAAGGTAGAGGAGAAAGGACCATATTGTATTACCTAAAAGTGTAATCCTGGTGGTAAAGAAAATTTCTTAGTTTTAGAAGTGGCCTGCTTATGCCTTATAGCAGGTCATATAGAAGAAATGTTCAGTGTAGGAAGTATTTTTCATACAAAGCATGTGTTTTATGCTATGTTCTATATTACATGTATACACATAAATGATGAAGGAGCAGTACAAAACCAGTTGTATTGTTTATTTAAACAGACTTATAAAGAACACTTAGAAGGCCAGAAACACAAAAAGAAAGAAGCGGCATTAAAAGCTTCCCAGAACACCAATAGCAACAGCACTTCTGCTCGTGGAACTCAAAATCAGTTGCGCTGTGAGCTTTGTGATGTATCTTGTACAGGAGCAGATGCTTATGCTGCACATATCCGCGGAGCCAAGCATCAGAAAGTAAGAACTTTCTCTTGTCCTTATTATACAAGTCAATCATATATTTCTTCCCATTATTTTTTCTCAGAGAGGAGAAAGTATGCAGAAACAATATATAATTCAAATTGTTTTGTTTAAATACGTTTACTTCTACTTTTTGTTTCAAACTTATCTTTAAGCTCACTATTAGAAGGACCTTGTTGGGAGAAAGGGGGAAAACATTGCCACAGCATCAATGAGAAGTGGATATATTGGGAAAGGTATATAAATTATAGGAAGAAGGTGTAGAATAAGATGGGGGAAAAGTGTCAATGAGGACATGTAGTAACATGCTTGTGCCCCCTAACACTTTTCAAGACTTCTGTTGACATTCTTCTAATTTGATGCTGTGAAGCTCTCTGTGCTTTGAAACACTGTAAACTGAGTCAGTGCCAAGGGATGGGATTACGTGTCACTTTTTGGTATTTCTTGCAAAGAAAATTGGCATATGGAAGCAAGGAACAATGCCCTGTAGTAGATTTTATGATTAGCATGCTTGAAGAGTTTTGGTAAGCATGCTTTTCCTAATGTCTGAGTGCAGTTAAGTAAGCATAGTAGAATAAAGACTGTGAGCTGCACTGTGAACCTCTGTGACCTGTGTTCTAAATTTGACCATACAACAGTAAATGGAATAGCGCAGCATACAAAGTGTGTTTAGATATTACATATTTTGCTCATAACTATGGAATGATTAATGTAAGTAACAGAGTATTAATATTAGGGTTTTTATAGCCCTTTGTATCTCAGAACACTGTACAAAGCGGCATCGGTAATATTGTTCTTATTACAAAAAACGTCATAGCAAATATAAAATAATTTCCCCAGTATTATTTTTTGTTAGTAAAAGAATGAAAATTACAATTTAGATAGACTTGCCTAGTGTTTGTTCCTTCATTAATGAAGTTGAGCCGTTAAATTTTTGGGTTGTGCCCAGTAACTCTATAGGTATATGGAGTACAATAATTTACTATCTTTATATATTTGGATGTCACTTTCATAGATAGTTGCTAACTAATGTTAATTTAGGTTGTCATCAGTGTAAAAATGAAGTCTCAAAGGACTCTTTCTTTGGTACACTGAAGAATCTTGTGCATGCTAGTGGGAAAAAAAGTAATTTTGAAGAGTTGCTTGAACTTAAATTTATAGTATTACATGACATCAATATGTCTGTATTTTGATGGTAAACATGCTTAAAATAAGAACAAAAACTAGAAAGTGTATGTATACACTTGTGTGCATATCATAGAATCATTTTGGTTGGAAAAACCCTCTAAGATCATAGACTCCAAACGTTAACCTAACGCTGCCAAGTCCATCACTAAACTGTGTCCCTAAGCACCACATCTACACGTCTTTTAAAATACCTCCAGGAATGGTGCCTCCACCAGTTCCCCGGTCAGTCTGTTCCAATGCTTGACAACCTTTTCTGTGAAGAAATTCCTCCTAATATCCAATCTAAACCTCCCCTGATGCAACCTGAGGCCATTTCTTCCCGTCCTATTGTTTTTTACTTGGGAGAAGAGACCAACACCCACCTTGCTACAACCTCCTTTCAGGTAGTTGTAGAGAGCAATAACATCCCCCTGATTCAAAGAAATTTTTGACAATATGTAAAGCACACTTTTATTACGGCCCGGGAGATGCAGGGGGTTTCGTTTCGACCCCCACCCCTCCCCGCCGTGCATTCCACCGAGAAAGGAAACACAACAGCTCTTTATACATTTCAAGGAGTGAGTTTCAAAATTATCTATCATATACACTCTTTACGAAGTCTCTATTCTTATTAGTTAGTTACACAGTCTCTTTATTTTATCAATTGAAATAAAGGTAAAATAAAATAAAAATTTAGCTATGTTAGTGTGACTTTGCAAAATTGTAACTGCTTGAAAGAAGGTTGCTGCCCAAATTGTGGGCAATTAAGATAAAACTAGCTTACGTAAACAAAAAGGACTGTCAGGGAAAGTGGGAAAGGCTTCTAGCATGTAGCATCGCAAGGCAGAAGAGGGGTGGGGGAAACTTAAGCTGTTTGAAATGATAAAACTTTATGTAACTACTCAATAGTAATAAGAATAGGAGTTAGGCAACCAAATGTCTATTTAGGTAAGGCAGATTTTAGTTTTCATTTCACACCCAGTCTTTAGTTTTCATTTTGCATGTTTTGTTGTTAGGGACTGCATGCATTGCCTTTTCTAGTGATGGTCAGCTTTCACCAAAAAGAAGTATTACTCTATCTCAAGTGTGTTGTAAAAAGGCCTCTGCTTTATTACTTCTAAGAATAAGCACATACCTCTTAACTTTCAATGAGATACTAAAGGGCTCTGAAATATGCCTCTTGCATCGTCCTTAACTCTTTCTGGAGATGTGCTTTAACAAAAAGAAAAGAAAACCTTTGTCTATGGAATGTCTTCAGGTTTGCTAGGTAACCTGAGAAGTCTTTCAATATAAATACTCTTAAAATGTAGTGATGAAAAGAGACAGTGTTGAATCTGAATTAAATAACTTATTTACAAATATTATTTGGAACTAAAATATTTCAATGTGCTGCAGTTTTTGGAGGGAGAATAAAAAGCAACCAGGCAACAAAACAGTCACGTTGTAAACATTTTACTTTAACTGTTTCTTGAATTTTACTGGCTTGTGAGTTTATTGGTTTTCTGTTCTCATCTACACAACTTTTTGAGTAAATGTCTGAATTTCTAGTGTAAATAAGCAACCTAAGTATTAAATATTTCCTTGTTACAGATGACAAGAACTTTTATATGTCCCTTTTTTTTCCCCCCGAGATCATTTTTTGTAAAGAGGCAATAACTTAAATATAAATATCAATATAACTATTTATTGATGTTTTTGTTAAAGCTTCAATAATCTATAACAAGTTCTTTTTTTTTATAGCTACCCCAGCAAGATAATATTATGAATTTTTTGTTATTCTTATAGGTAGTAAAGTTGCATACAAAACTTGGCAAACCCATTCCTTCAACTGAACCAAATGTGGTTACCCAAGCTGCTACTTCAACATCTGCATCTGCTTTGAAACCAACTGCCTCTGCTTCAAATATAGCAACTAGCAGCAGTACTGTGACCTCCTCTGTTGCATCCTCTGCTGTGAAAATTCTTACTCCCATGGCAAATGCACCACTTAACACTGTGTCCAACAACAAAACATCTTCAACTGCTGCTAATATAACTGTAAAGAAAATATCTACACCAAAAATAAACTTTGTTGGCAAGTACAGAAGTCAGTCTTTATTTTGAAACCTAACCTATTCTATGTTTTTTAAAGATCTTAGTGCATCATGTACAAATGTAGTTAACTTTATGCATGAGTAATTCTGTTGTGTTTAAGGGAATTACTGATAGGGGAAAATAAGAATGTGTATAAAAACTTTGCTTCACAATTTATACTGTTTTCTGCCCTTTGGTCTCCACCTGACCTTTCCTGGAGGCTTCATAAGAAGCCTCCCGCCTTTGGTTTCTTATGTAGTAGCTGTTGGAGTATTGCAGATTATAGTCCAGTTGGTCCTAATTTCAGTTCACAGCATGGGCTGTTAAGACAAACTGCAGTAGGTTGGCAGTTGGCAACTGTGAAACTGAAACATTGTTGTAACACTGTAAATCTAACAGTGGAAACTTTTGAAATAAGCATGACAGACATTTAGGGACAGAAAGCAGTTGTTCAACAGTAAGATAACCTGCTCTTGAAAGACAGACCTATGCATTTGCAGCACAAAGTATGCTACCTTGATTAGTACAAACGTTAAAAAGTTTTGAGGTACTTTCTTGGATCCATTTGCAAAAAAGAGAAAATAAATCTGATGGGAAACAAAATTAAAATATATTTGCTGAGTTGTTCCCATTCAGTCCTATCTCTTGAAAAAGCATGAAAGTGAATGATGGCAATTGCAACTATATAAAGCAAAATATTGCTTGCTAAAATAAGTTTTTCTTAAACTTTTTTAAAAACCTTATAGTATTTAAAATGTTTGCTTTATTAAATTATAAAAGACTGATAATACTTTGACCAGAACATTGATACTTGCAAATAAAGTCTTCAGTTTCCACATCGTGTGTAATCATATTCCCATTTTATGAAAGTTAGTGATTTAACTTTTTTGATTTGCAGGTGGTAATAAACTTCAGACAACAGGAAATAAACTGGAGGAAATGAAATCAGCTGAAAGTATTAAAACAACAACTGCTGCTGCAGTACAAACACAGGAAGTAAAACCAGACACAGCAGCTGAACCCGTGACTCCTACAACTCTTGTAGCCTTGCAAAGTGATGTCCAACCAGTGGGCCATGACTATGTGGAGGAGGTATTGATATGAACATGTGGATTATTTTTTAACTGTTATATGGAGAGAGGCTCCAGTTCCTTCATCATCTTCGTGGCCTTTCACTGAATTCTTTCCAGTATGTCCATGTCTTTCTTGCACTGGGGAGCCCAGAATTGGACACAAGACTCCAGGTGTGGCTTCACCAGTGCTGGGTTAGAGAGGAAGGATCAGCACCTGCTGGCAAGATATTGTTTAATGCAGTCCAGGATACAATTCGTCTTCTTTGCTACAAGGGCACATTGTTGACTCAAGTTCAGCTTGGCATTCACCAGGACCCCCCACAGCCTTTTCTGGCAAACTGCTTTCCAGCTGGGTAGTCCCTCAGCCTGTTGAGATCTCTGGATGGCAGCACAACCCTCTGACATATCAACCACTGCTTCCAATTTTGTGTCATCAGCAAACTTACTGAGGGTACGCTCTGCCCAATCATCCAGATCGTTAATGAAGATGTTAAACGGAACTCGACCCAACATTGAGCCCTGGGGTACACTACTAACTACTAGCCTCCAACTAGATTTCATTCTACTGATTACTACCCTCTAGTCCTTGCCATTCAGCCTGCTTTCAATCCACCTCACTGTATGCTTATCCAGTCCATACATCAAAACTTTGTCTATGAGGATATTATAGCGAAACTGTGTCAAACACCTTACTGAAGTCCACATAGTAGTGGTTTTGACCCTGGCCAGATTTCAAATACCCACCAAAAGCTACTATATCACCCCCCCCTCTGCAACTCCACAGAGGAGAGGAAAAAAAATCAACTAAAGAATTCCTGAGTAGAGATAAGAATTGGGAGACTCCTTTACTAATGGGCAAACCAGACTCAAAGTGGGGAATTGAACTTAAATTTATTACTAACAAGATAAAACCTAAAGAGTGAGAAATAAAACAGTCTTAAAAACACCTTCCCCCCACCCCTCCCTTCCATGCTCTTCCTTCTTCCTCCTCCAGCAGTGCAGGGGAATGGGAAAGGATGGAGGTGGGGTCAGTTTTTGTTTGAGTCCATCCCTCAGGCAACAGCTCTTCTCATTTTGCTGTCCCATGGGTCACTCCTTCATGGAATGCAGTCGGGTCTCTGCACTCTGAAGGTCTTCCATAGTCTATGGGGGTACACCTGTGTCTCTATGGTCTTCACCACGGGCTTCCAGCCTGTACATCAACCCTTTGTCTATGAGGATATTATGGCAAGACTGTGTCAATCACCTTACTGAAGTCCACATAGACAATATCAACTGCTTTCCACTCATCTACCAGGCCAGTCACTTCAACACAGAAGTTGATCAAGCATGACTTTCTTTTGGTGAAACCATACTGACTACTGATGATGATTTTCTTGTCCTTAATGTGCCTGGAAATGGTTTCCAGAATTAGTTGCTCCATCACCTTCCCAGGAATTGAGGTGAGGCTGACTGACCTGTAATTCCCTGGGTTCTCCTTGAAGATAAGAGGGAAAAGACATTGAACCTGTAAAGGCTTGAGCTATGTTTATGTTTTTGTATTGTGCATGTTTCTTTTGACCTCAGTGGGGCATTCTTCATGTTGGTGGCATGAGATATGTGGATGAAATCTGATGTAAATTTTTCATCGTTTGTACTCATTATGTTCAGGGTCAAGTTTAAAGCTGTGGAAGAACTTTGTTACCAATCACAATGATGTGTCTATCAGAATTGAAAGTTCAGTTTTACCTTTTTTCAGTTACTGTATTTTTAAGCATGTTTTGAGATGGGTAGACATTATCCAGTGTCACTGAATTAGATTAATTTTTACATCAGCTTTTGTTAAAAAAAAAGTAAAGGTGTTATAACTTTTATTTTCCAGGTAAGAAATGATGAAGGAAAGGTGATCCGCTTTCACTGTAAACTTTGTGAATGCAGTTTTAATGATCCTAATGCCAAGGAGATGCACTTAAAAGGGAGGCGGCACAGACTTCAGTATAAGGTTGGTAGAAATGCTAATACTTTTATGTGAAAATCTACCAGATGTCAGCTGACTGATTACATGTTGTACTGGGTTTCTGTGTCCAGGCTTTGGTGGTACTGGGGCTATAGGGGAGACTTCTGTTAGAAGCTGCTGGAAGCTTCCCCCCATGTCCCACAGAGCCAATGTCAGCTGGCTCCAGGACAGACCCACCACTGGCCAAGGTCAAGCAAATCAGGAGTGATAATAATGCTTCTATGATAACATATTTAAGAAGGGGAAAAAAAAGTTGTTGGGCAGAGGAACACTGCAGCCAGGGAAGAGCAGAGTGAGAACATGTGAACAACAATGTAGACACTAAGGTCAGTGGAGAAAGGATAGGGAGGAGGTACTCCAGGCACCAGAGCTGAGGTTCCCCTGCAGCCTGTGGTGCAGAGCATGGTGAAGCAGGCTGTCCCCCTGCAGCCCATGGAGGAGCCCACACCGGAGTGGGTGGATGCCTGAAGGAGGCTGTGACCCCATGGGAGGCCCATGCTGGAGCAGTATCCTGCCAGGGACGTGCAGCCCATAGAGAGAGGAGCCCATACTAGAGCACGTTTCCCTGTTAGGACTTGTGGCCCTGTGGGGGACCCATGTTGGAACAGCTTGTTTCTGAAGGACTGCACCCCATGGAGAAGTGACTCATGTGGCAACAGTTTTGTGAAGAACTGTCTCCCATGGGATGGACTCACACTGGAGAGGTTCCTGAAGGTCTGTCTCCTGTGGGAGGGACCCCACGGGAGCAGGGGAAGGACCCCTCTCCTTGAGCAGCAGCAGAAACAACTGACTGTAACTCCCATTCCCCATCTCCCTGCACTGCTAGGGGGAGGAGGTCGTTTTGGCGGAGAGGCACCGGAACATACACACAGATCTATAAGATCACAAATATGTCCGCTTTATTGCGATGGTTCAGGGTTTTTATAACATCTCTACTCAAGGTCCCGTGACAAGAAGCATACAATTGGACACCAGCTACCATCCAGCTGAAAACATCCATTACAAATTCCTTTATAATT